TCCACAAGAAAAATATTTTAGTAAAAAAAAAAAAAAAAATAAAAAAAAAAAAAAGCTGGATGACCTCTATTCCAAAGGCCACTGTGGTTCTTAAGGGCCTTGGGTGCCATCCTTGAGTGGACCAACCCAGGAGGAGGAAATGATGGAAGAGGGTGCCGAGGGGGGAAGGAGACCCAGGGCCAGAGGAGGACTTGGAATCCAATCAGGTGCTATTTTCTGTCTTCCAGGCTAAGCAGTCACAGCAATCGTGGTTAGGAAAACACAAACAGTCAAGTGATAGAAATGTAGCCGTGTTAGTCTGGGGTAGTTGAAGCAAAATGCAGGACAATATAGCACTTTAAAGACTAACAAGATGGTTTATTAGATGATGAGCTTTCGTGGGCCAGACCCACTTCCTCAGATAAAATACTTTGATCTGAGGAAGTGGGTCTGGCCCACGAAAGCTCATCATCTAATAAACCATCTTGTTAGTCTTTAAAGTGCTATATTGTCCTGCATTTTGCTACAAACAGTCAAGACCGCCTTGGCAAGGGGCATTGATTTTTTGGATGCTCTGCAGTGAATTGGGGGTGGGAGGGTTGCTGACAGAAGGTTTGGGTCTGTGCAGCAGTAATATCAACAGAGGGCTAGCCAGCTACAGAACTGGCTGTTGAATTCTCACTTCATAATAATTGGCCTCAAGTCCATTTTTGCTTCAGATTTAATCTTAAGATCTCAACCGTCATTGCTAGCGTCAGGTCACTGGCTGCACAGGGCAAGAAAACAGCCTCAGAAAAGCTAAGACTTTTTGTGTGATGTTAGGCTGCAGGCTGCTGCTGAAAAAGAACTGCTCCTCTGCTTCTTCAATGAGGGAACAGCCAGAATGACACCATAGAGTAGCTCTTAAATGTTAGAGCACCAGACTACTGTGCTCCAGGTGCTACTTGTACTGCTTGCAGGGCAACTGTGAGACCTTCCCCTGCACCACCCTCCGCCAGTATCCCCTCTCACCACCACCACATTTTGATCCCCATTCTGTCCCCAGTTGGCACTTGCTGCATTCCACACCTGCCCTTTGGCCATCCAGCCCTACAGCTTACCACAAGCACCCAGGGCTCTCAATCCCTGCTCCCACTGCACAGCACATCAGATAGTCGGGCTACATACAATATATAGATATACACAAATCTGCAAACATGCTGGGCCTCCCCGCCTCTCTTCCCACTCAAAGTGCAGATGTGTCATGCTGTATTGGGGGGACGGGGTAATGTCCGTGTTTGCTATCTTAGTTCTATTACATGAAAATAAGCGAGCAGAGCCCAGCAAAGCAACAGCCACTTTTCTACTAAGTACATTGTATGGACCAATAACAGTCACTTACTGCAGTCTTGGGCACCACAACAAATATTACTGGCTTTCAGCATCAAAGTGATGCCTCAAGACACCCCTGATCCTTACAGTCCTGCACTGCGCTCCTCTAATAGCCCTGAGCTCATGCTGTTCAAACTCAACCTCCAGGCACCAAGCCTCAGCCCTGAGTGAAGCTGTCACCCTTTTCTTGGGCTATGTCTAGACTGGCATGATTTTCCGCAAATGCTTTTAACGGAAAAGTTTTTCTGTTGTGAGTAGATTACAACCTGGAAGAGCTGGGTTCGGGCAATCTGCCCGGGCAGAGTACACAGCACTAAAGCTCTAGAAAGATGGCACCAAATGCAGATGGAAGCACTGGGGTTGCTTGGATGCAAAGTGATGCATCACAGGGCATTGGGACAGAACCCAGGATTCCCTACCTCTTTCTTCCCACAAGCCTCAGAAGCAGCAACAGTGGTGCTCTGAGACACAGCTGCAGAGCGCACCCATTTGAGTACAGCTGCAAGTGCTACTGTGCTGGCAACTAACAGTACAGACACACAGCAGTAGTTTCATTCTGTGAGCAGTGAACTGTCAGTGCCTTACATCTGCCAACATAGTCAAAGCCCTAGACCGCTTTTTATTCCAATTTTGTTTAGGTACAGTGGGCTAGCCTTGTTTCCTATGATGTGCTAGCACCATTACCTACTATACTGCCCAATACTATTTCACTGTTTCCTTGTACTTCTCCAGTTGTTAGGCTCGTCTTATTTAAGCTCCTTAAAACAAAGGGATGGTCTTTGCCCGATGTTGTGTAACACCTAGTATAATATAATCCTACTTCATGATTAGGGATCTAAACTCCACAGTAGTACAAATACTTGTATTTGCAGCAAGGAAGTTCAGCAGATAGAATTGGGTAGATTTTTACCCCTGAAGAAGTTTAAATGGAAAAGTGTTCTGGTATTATTCTTTCAACTTCAAATTGCATCAGCTTCAAAATTTTATTGCTTGTTAGATCCTGCATAAGCCATTATACAAATCTGTCAAAATATGGATATTACAATACTGACTCAGTTTTCATTGCACAAATGTTTAAACAGGAAACTTTACAAATACATTTTTCCTCATAAGAATAGTTTTATACAGAAAATATCTTTACAGAAAAGCTCAATTTAGATTCTGTATCATGAATCTGATGGCTTGATGCACTAAGTTTTTTAAGCTACACTTAAGATTGTGTCATAAAAAGCAGCAGCACATCATTTCTATACTTAAGTCTGCTTGAGTCTTGTTGAACCAAAACATTGAAAATACTCTGGCCACTTTCATAAGCAGATAATTCAAGTATCTTTAAACTCTTTAAAGTATTAGTAATGAAATACTTTGTATTTGTCTAAAAATAACACCATAATTTAAGTGTCAAGATAAATCAATATAAAACTTAACAAGGCAGTATTACCTTAGATTATACTGTTGTGCTAAATAATACTATAACATAAGAGCAGTCTTTAGAAAAAGACTAAACAGATTACATTAAACAAGTTTGAGAACATGAACTTCAAATTGAGTTTTCAGAAAGTGTTCTATTAAATACTATGCAGCATTAAGAAAATAAGGGTCTTTTTTAAATTAGAAACCACTTACAGTAGAGAAGAGTCCAGTAAAGTATTACCTATAGAAGGAAACTGAAAAAAATATAAATGGCTATGCCAGTAAATGATGTATTTGGTTTTGCAAAGAATTGAACTCCATAGAGTATCATTGAAAGTTCAAGCATAAACCATATTCAACAATCTTGTTTTATCTGACAATTTTTATGTCTTGAATTTTTGTATTTATATAGAATTTTCCTAAAATATAACTTGCATGTTTGATGTGGAATTAGGAAGATTTTTTTCTTGTAAAGGAGTACTACAGTCACATGTTCACTTTTTTTGCTTTCCTGGAATTTTATAATTATGATTTTTAAAATGACAGGAAAATACAGTTTACTTTCCTCTCTATCCTTATACTAGGAAAGTAAAATAGTTTACCAACTGAGGCTGAAGCATATATTATAAGCAGTTTTTCATATTGGCACTTTCAAGATTGAGATAGCATGTTACTTTTAGTCAAGTGCGACTCCAACACTGATTTATGTAGTGTTCCTCCCTAACACTCATTTCAACCTACGGAATTAGAGTGGAATCAGAACATTTTCCTACCATGAATATTGTAGCACAGTGGTTTGTACAATTAGTTTATAATAAACAGTAAAATCACATTATAGTGGGTCACATTTGCATACAACTAGAAGAAATTTTAAAAAAAACTTATTCCAGTGATTTTGCAAATTCAGCATAATCAATGTATCCATCATTATTTTTGTCATCATCTCGTAAGACATCATCAATTAGACTAATTAGCTCTTCTTCTTTCATTGCCTGGGAATGTTCACCACCTTCCTGCAAGAAAGAAATTAGTTACAGCAGTTTCTCTCAGTGAGTGGTAGTGCCCCGAATCATTGAAAGTCATGCTACAATTTAGAGCAAAGGATATCTGGCTGCTTCCTTTCACAGACACTGAATCAGTCAGTCAAATAGTCTCTATCAGTCCCTTAAAACAAGTACACACGCAGGTTTGATACCACATTTATAGGAAGTGGAAGAGGGTTCTGAAAATATTTGACTTCAAATAAGGGCTGTCAACTAGGGATGTGAAGGACTAGTCAACTATCTGATAAGCAAATGCTTATCGGATAGTCAACTAGTCTCTCCTCCTCCCCTCCCTTGCTGCCTCTATTACAGAGAGGTAGCAAGGGGTGGGGAGGTACTTCAAAGTGGCCATGCTGCTTGAAGCCTGGGTCCAGACCCCAGGTTCCAAGCCGTGCTGCAGCTCTGAAACACCACATGCAGCCCAGGGCCAGCTGCGTTGTCCCCAGGCTCCCCACAGTGTTTCAAAGTGGCAGCGCTGCTTAGAGCCCGGGGTCAGACCCCAGCTGACCCCAGGCTCCACACTGCACTTCAAAGACAGAGGCACCCTACTGACTAATCGAATAGTCGATGCAAAATATCGATTAGTTGATACTTAATATCCTTACTGCTAACCTGAAGAGCAGGGCTGTCCCCAGCCATAGAATGGCTGGGGGGTTCGAGGACTCTGGTAACTACCACAACCATCTACGGATAGGACAGACCCAGGGGATGACAGGAGCCTGATGAAGGGCTTCCCCCCCTCCACTCACTCACTAGAGGTGGCAGGAAAAGGAATGACGTGACAGTCTACTTCGCTCTGCCCTGTTGCCCTCATGGCCCGCTGTGCCCCGCTTCTTCATGGCTGTAGGAAGCAGAGTGCCCCAGCCCAGGGTTCTCTCCAGTTTGTCACCATGGAGAAGCAGGACATGGTGGCCCAGGAGGGAGAGACAGCAGGCTGCTCCAGCTCCTGCCCTCCACGGTGGCAGGAAAAGGAATGACGTGACAGTCTACTTCGCTCTGCCCTGTTGCCCTCATGGCCCGCTGTGCCCCGCTTCTTCATGGCTGTAGGAAGCAGAGTGCCCCAGCCCAGGGTTCTCTCCAGTTTGTCACCATGGAGAAGCAGGACATGGTGGCCCAGGAGGGAGAGACAGCAGGCTGCTCCAGCTCCTGCCCTCCACATGCGCTG